ATTGGTTTTGAATTAATTTATTTTAATTAGAGTTGGATGAATCGATTTAGATCGAATTTAAACATTGGTGCATTCCCCTACATGGCCCGTGTGGCCACACTGCTCAGCAGCAAAGTGGAATGTATCCTTTGGTCTTGAGTTCGAATTCTCTCAGTGTTGAACAGATGCTAATTTAACCATATAATTTCCATTGTCAAAAAAAAAAAACATTGGTAGTGCCTGCCCCTGTAACATGAACCATATTAATGGTATGAGCAGTACTAGGGGCACTCGCCTCCTGCACTCTCCGGCCAACACTTCCACTTTCATTGGGCCACGTAAGCTTGCTTTGGTGGTTTTGGAGCGCAACCTCTTTAGTCAAAATAACGTGGCCCAATCAAAATGAGAGTGTTGACCGGAGAGTGCAGGAGGCGAGTGCCCCTAGCGCTGCTCTTAATAGTATTAAGTAAGCTAATTATATTACATTTCATACTTTATAACGTGTAAATTACAATTTAATTTTTTCCATGGTTACCCGTTATACTTCATAGTACTCCTTTCATTTCAAAATAATAAACATTTTTTTATTTAAAATTTGTCTCAGAATAATAGTAATATTTTTTTTCTATCTCAAGGGAGACATTTTTTCTTTACTTTAAGTTTATAATTATTTCTTAACTTTAATAATTCATTTTAGAATTAAAATAGTTTTTATTTATAATTATTTTTTAGGAAAATTATATATATTCCTTGCAAAGTTACATATTCCATTATACATTGATGGTTTTTATTACTTAATTTATTCATTAAACACTAACGATTTTTGTTACTTGTGCTCGGAACAGTAGCCCTCATTTAATTGAAACCGTCAGTATTTAACAGGGAAAGTAATAAAAACTATTAGTGTATAACTTTACATGGTGTATGTATCATTATTCTATTTTTTAATGATAAAAAAAGTAAAAATATAAAATGTTTCCAAATCCTTAATCTAAAAATAAAATAGAAAAATGTTTATTAGTTTAGGGTGAAGAGTATAAACTTGTGTGGTTTGCGTCAAGGGAAGGGAGGATGCGAATCAATTTTCTTATTTAGATTAAAAAAAAAAATTTAGGGCCTATTTGGTTATAGTGCCACTTTATTAGGAAAGTTTTTATTAGAAAAAAAGATTAAAAAATACTATACAAAAAATGAATAATTTTTGTAACAAAGTTTTGATATAATATTATTAGGTTATTAACTTTGTTGTGTTTGGTAAGAAATTGATATAAAAAAAGTTAGTGAGAAATGATACATATACTTTGTAAAGTTATATATTATGTTACACACTGACGGTTTTTGTTACTTTTGCCATTAAAATTGACAGTTTTCATTACTTATGTCGTTACTTATGCCGTTAAAATTGAAGGTTTTTGTTATACACTGATGGTTTATAATAGATTGTGTAATTTTACAAGGTATATGAATCGTTGTCCAAAGTTAGTAGGTAAAATTGTTAAGTGGGTCTAATAGAGAAATAGTTATAGGGAAATGTTTTCCTTTCCAAAATAGGTGGAAAGAAAACTTTGCATTTTGTGAACTGTGTTAGAAAAAATAAAGGTTGAAAATACCACTTTTACCCTATTTTATTATAGTATTAATGTGTGAAAATATATAATTAACTTTATTTGTAAATAACCTTACGAGGGAGAAAGTTTAGAGAATTTTAAGAGAAAAAGTTCCTCCTCAACCAAACACCCCCTTAAGGTGAGGGGAGGGTGCCTTAAACCAAGCATATTATATATATATATATATTAGTAGATATTCATTTACACATAAATTTTATATATCACATTTGTATAAGATCTCAATCATTTATCTCTTTACTTTCAATGTTTTTCAATGGTTGAGATTTATTAATACTTTTAGGTAAAAAGATGATTATCTTTAAAAAATATGAATAAATCTCAACAATTGAAAGTGAAGAAATGAATGGTTGAAATTTATCACTACTTTTTAGGTGAAAAAAAATTATCTTTAATAAATGTAAATAAATCTCAACCATTAAAAGTGAAGAGACAAATAAATTATTGAAATTTTATACAAGTATGGTGTGGAAGACTTTTGTATAAGTGAAGTTTTACTTATATATATATATATATATGAGAAAAGGAAAAATCAGGACATTATAGCATTTAAATACATATAATCACAATTATTAAACATGTGAGATATAGTGTGGTCCCAAACTTTATTGACTTCATTATGTGACTATTATTGGAAAATGTTAAGATGTTATGATTTTTCATTTTTCCTATCTATAGTAGAGATCTATTTATATACAAATTTTATACATCATATTTATATAAAATTTTGAGCATCCATCTATCTATCCACTTTTAATGATTAAGATTTATTTACTTTTTATTATATTTATTAAAAATAATTTTTTAATCTAAAATGTCGTTATAATTCTTATAAATATGTTGTTTCGTCTATATTATGTTAAATTTTATAATTTAAACTATTAAATAAGAAAGATTCCTAAATATGTAGTTATTATTTTATCCAATGATTGTGATTTTATAATTCAGACAATAAAACTATGCACACAAACTTTATACTATCATATTTATTTTCATTACCATAATATTGTACTTAATCTTTTTTTTAAAATAATGATTAGAAAAATAATAATAAAACCCCTCTTATCCTTACTAAGCAAGCAAAATGAGAAAAGAAGTGTGTTAAATGAAACATTACTTGCGTCTTTTAGCATTGATGAATTCGTGTGGGCGGCGAAGGATCTTGAAGTACCAAAGGAAAGTGATCATTTCACCGGAGAGCGGAAGCCTCATAGGACCGGGAGGCAGCTTGGTGCCTGTACCGGAGTACTTGGATAGGAGAGGAATGGCATAAAAAAGCTCATTCCACCACCACAATAGCCACCCCAGAAGTGGCAGAGCCCCCAAAAGCCAAGCCAACCACACTGCCATGGCGGTTTATGATTATCCTGCCAACCCAGAACTCGACCACGTTTATATATATATATATATATATTTTTTTTTTTTAAAAACCACACTACCATGGCGATGGCGGTGGTTCATATATATTTATATAATTCTTTGGTTTTGCTGATAAATATATATATATATATATATATATATAATTCTTTGGTAATTTAATTTGTTGATTCCTTGCTAAATATTCCACTCGATAAAAGACCGCTAGTTTGACATCTGCTACGTACCTGCCACACTCATCAAGTAGGATTAATTTATTATTATTATTATTATTATTATTTGACATTGACTTGTATCATGTTACACAATTATTTTCATCTCTTAATTCATACTATTTACATGCCATGTAAATCAAATTTTTCGTCTTTTATTTTTACTAAAAAAATTACATTTGAATTATTTAAGTTGTTGGTATTATAATTAATTAATATTATTATTATTATTTGGTTTTGATTTAGCAGTAGGGTATTCTCAATTAACTTGCATATACCTTTAAACTAATCCCTTCCTAACCCAATAAAATATAAGTCATTTTACACTGAAATTAAACAGTTCATAAAAAATTATTTTTTTATTAATCATTTTAGAAAATTAAATTTTAATAAATAAAGTATAAAGTAAACTATTTTGTCAACTAAGATTTAAGATAGTTTATAAATTTGAATTTGGATGAGTTTAGTTACATTTGATCCAAGTCTCGACGACATAAAGATGTAGAATGAATCACCCAATCTAGATAAGAAATTCCAATTTTACTCCTTGTTTCTTTTCCTTTCCTTCACATTCATTTGTTAGACAATATGTGGCTCTTAACCCAATATAAACTTTTAATTTAAAATCAATTAATAATAGTTTATATCATATTTCTTCTTTTATTTTTCAAATGCGGAATTTCACACTTCTGCACGCCCTCTCACATGCAACCTTATTAAAACAAAGGGAGTAACTAACTAATTGGAATTACATTGTGGGGATTGTTTGCGGACTCAAAAACGTTTTTCTAATCGGACAAAATTGTGTCGATGTTTTAGTACGAGATCCCTTCGGTCACATGCTTTAATAAACAATATAAACATTTTTCTAATTTGATCCCTTTCTTTTATAAGAACAATATAAACAAATAAATAAATGACCATAAAATCTCAAATTCACCTCTAAATAGATAAGTAAAGACATATTCATTTCTAAAAAAATAAAGATAAAATTATCTTTTCAAATTAATGATCAAGACAAAGAATTTATTATTTAACATGTGATGCTGTTATATATTTAGAATTTGTTTGTTACCTAACTTTATTTTTAACAGAAAACTAACATGTGATATCGTCACACATTAAATAATAGATAATTTGTTTTGATTGACAATTCAAAGAGATAATTTTTTTTTTAAAGAGTAAATTTATTCATGTTCATCTATTTAAAGGGTGGGTTTTGTTTGGCGTAGCATTTTTGTGATGAAGATCTCTAGCTGGCGTTATCATCCTTCTAAAAACCATTATCATGCTATAAAAATTTATTCTTTGGGAACCCTTTGCTTTCCTAGAGCTATTGCCGATCAGTTCTCAGCAACCACGTGACTGAACTGAACCCCATTTTAACCCATTCAGCAACAACTTAGCTTATTAACCCTTTGGGTTTGCCGTTAAAAAACGTTGGGGTTTATTCCAAAATTATGACTAATTATATGCATTAAATGCAGATTCAAATCACTTCATTGTTTATATAGGTGTAAATAATAACAAGATTGACTGTAAGACTAATTTGTGCCGAAGCTCCATTTGCTTTGAGATTGGAGCTAGTGCCAAAGGTCCAAATACCTACATTATCAAAACAAGAAGTTCAATACTAGGGTACACCATACGGAGCTTAATTTCTTTATACTTTAATTTATTTATTTATTTATTTTTTTTTGAACTTTTTGGACATGGGCGGGTTCGAAACCCGCCGGGGGAGGGGGAAATGCACTTTGCAATGGCAAGTGCCATTGGGCCTCTAGGCCTAGTGCACTTTAATTTATTTTTTGAATAGTGAGAAATTTGAGAGAATGAGGATAGTACATAACCATGTCAAGACTTGAACACGGGTATTGAATGGGGTGAGGGTGCCCTTAACCAAGGAAGCTTAATTATTCACTTTAGGATTATTATTTAGAGATTACTAATATAGCAATTTACGATAATCAAATCCAAGAGGCGTAGCATGCTATTATTGATGGTTATTTAAACAAAAATGCAATAGTTACACCATTATATAATATTATAAACTTATAATATAACACGTCATTATATAATTAATTATTTTTTATCAAGAATCTATTCATAATATTTTATATATTTATTCATTTAATATCATGTTATACTAATTTAATATTACATCATCACTATAAACTTATAATTCTACATAATATTTTAATTATATCATTGACAATATCCAGATAGGTGTTCATCAATTTAATGTGCCAAATAGTAAGAACTGACTACACTTATAAGACATGGGAAAATCAATGGCCAGCCTTCCATCTTACTGGCCAGCCTTCCATCTTACTGACCATAAAAATATCAATCTCTTAACTTATAATATAAAAGTTTTAACCACTCATCTTTTCAGCCCAAATAAAAACACGAAAAACAACGGCAAAGTCATGTGCCCATTAATACTGTGTTATCCATTGCCATGTCAACACCAACGTGGCCAATTATTGCTATGATAGACTGCCACTATGGATAATAATTTTAATGCCGGGCTTAACTAAACAAACTTGAAGTTAAAAGGACTCGATAAAAGGACTTGAAAAGGAAACTTAAAGTGATTTACATGAGAGTCTTTTGTTCATTCTCTACAACTTTAGACAACAAGTTTACTTTACTCTCCTCACTGACCAAGAGAATTTGGGTTGAATTCATCAAAGACTATTTGACAAAGTTGAAGGGACCACAACAACAAGGACGAATCCTCTGTTGCTAGACCACACGTTTGACGGGTATTGTTCTTAATTGACATTTTAGATTTGTCTTAGGTTTTGGTTATCTCAATCAGTGAATGATAGCAAATAAACAAATGATAAACAAGGATTAGTGTTAATTAAAAATAAATTAAGTATTTATTAATTCAAATTTATGCTTAATATCATTATTAGTTAGTTGATTTGTCAGTAAAAAGACAATTTATAAAGCGAAGCTAAATTGAGTTGCTGTGTATTATAGGGCACTAATTCATTTATGTGAATTTCATTTTTAATTCAATATTTTAGGGCATTAATTCAAGCTTTCTTATGGTGAGATTAAGCCTTACTGTTTTAGGGTTAAATTTGGGTTAGGCTTTTTAAAGGAAATTATTTTTATTGCAGTTTATTTTGTTTTTTGATTGGAGATGCCTTGTCATTGTTCTAAAGCACACTTAACTATTTTGTTATTGTTTTGTTGTTCTTACACTACAACATTTTTGCCATTTAGCTACGAACAAAAACCATATATATATGGTAAAAATCTTGTGAAAACATGAGCACTGTCCCCTCCTTGTAGATTAGACAATACTAAATATCCTGACTTGGTAGAGAAGCACCCATCCTTTGAGTGCTGCCAACGCCAATGATCCTTCTTGCATCTTATCGGTTGCACATTGATTAATTTCTCTTGCAGCTCCTTTGCTTGCTTCTCTTCCCAATCAAATAGCTTTCTTCTCCATTGCAGATTCCAACTCCAAAGGCCATCACTCTAGGTTCCCATTTGATTTACTTTACTGTCCTTACTTGTTGACAATAAATACAATCTCGCATACATGTTAGCTAAAGCCCATGAATCCATCCAATTATTATTCCAAAAATTAAATTTATTTCCCTCGCCTAGGCTACATCTAAAATTCTGTATCAACCATCCATTCCTACCTACTTCTAACATATTTAAACTACAAATGTCCTTCCACCGTCTCGACCCCAACCCCAAGAACAAGGCCAATGTCATTCTTGATTAAATTATGGGGTAATATTCTAAGCCATTATTGTGTCATATTGAGCAATCTCTTTCTTCCTTTCACTTTTCCCTTTGCATTTTTTATCCTCTGCCCTGTCTGTTACTATTTTAAAATCAACTACCTTTAATTTAGTATTTTCAAAAACTCCATTGTCTGCCATTGTCACACCTTTCCTTTTATTAAACAATTTTTTCTACTATTTTAATTGATTGTGTTCTTTATTGTTCTCATTGCAATTAGCAATATTACCTAAGTTGATAAGTCATGGATAAATATCGAACAAAAAGCTTCCTTCACATATATGCAAGGGGCTATGAGATTCATTTTGTTTGCCTCAAACAACCTAGATCAAGATGGAAAATCACATGTCCTTGTAGGATGTGTGAACGAGCAGTCTATGTATGCATAAGATGGGTTTGATCATATCATATAGAATGGATTTCTAGGGGCTATGTCAATTAGGGATTGCATGGTGAGGGTGTTAGATCATCAACATCTCAAGTTGAAATTAATAAATAAGATTAGGACTTTCTTCATGACATGCATGGTTTATTCAGTGATGTATTCAGTATGTATGATACAAACACAGACATTAATGGTGGTATAAGTGTTGATTTAGATGGAACAAGTACTGAAATGAGAGATGACCATGGACAACATAGTCAATTTGAAAGCAGTGATGTAGATGTGCTTTTTAACTTACTCAAGGAAATTAAGCAAGAGTTGTATCCTAATTGTAAGATGTCAAAGCTACCATTCTTTATACACTTGTTCCACATAAAATGTCTTAGTGGTTGAAGTAATATATTATTATCCATGCTCTTGGAATTATTGAAAGAGGCATTACTTGATGGAAACACACTACCTGCTACTTATAATGAAATGAAGAAAATATTTTCAAGTCTTGATTTAGGGTATGAGAAATATGTGCTTGTCTGAATGATTGTGTGTTATTTTGGAAAGATCATCAAAATCAACAAGAATTGCATGTGTGCAATGCCTTTATATGGAAGGAAAGTAGTGTTGTTGTGGAAGATGGGATCGAGAATTTTAGTACAAAGAAAAAAACTATTGCTGTAAAGATATTACGTTGG